TATCAAAAACACACACAAAAAAAGTGCTTTATAGGAAAAAAGTGAGCATTTACAGCATGGAAAGGGAAACTGAGGGTAGAGGTCAAGTGGGAATTAAAAAAAAGTTTTTTTTAGTTAAGCTGAAATTTGAAGAATGAGAATGGATCAACTAAACAAATCTTGTCCCAAGTATACTGACAGACATGGGGAAAGTCCACGAGGTGAGAACAAGGTGTATTCAAGGAAATGAAAAGCTCTATGGATTAGTATGGTTGGAACCCAGAGATTGGGCTGTAGAAATGAGGGTGGCAAATGGTATAAGGTTATACTGATAAGTGATGTTTGTTCCATTCTTCATGATTTAATCGTTATGAGAAGACTTAGGTATTACTCACCTTAGGCTACCATAAAAAAATACCATAGATTAAGTGATTTAAATAAACATTTATTTTCTCACAATTCTGGAAGCTGAAAGTCTAAGATCAGGGTGCCAGCATAGTAAGGTTCTTTTGAGAACCCTTTTCCTGGATTGCATATGGATGCCTTCTCTGTGTTCTCATATGAAAAAGAAAAAGTGGGGGAGGAAGGAAGCAAAGGTATCTCTCATTTTATAAAGTCAACTCTATCGTATTAGGAGGGTTCCACTTTATAATATCATTTTTTTAGGGGGAGTACCAGAGATTGAACTCAGGGCACTTGCCATATCCCCAGCCCTATTTTGTATTTTATTTAGAGACAGGATCTCACTGAGTTGCTTAATGCCTTGCTTTTGCTGAGGCTGGCTTTGAACTCACAATCCTCCTGCCTCAGCCTCTGGAGTCGCTGGGATTACAATCATGCGCAACCACGCTCAGCACTTATGATGTCATTTAAAAAATTTTTATTTGTTCTTTTTGGTTATACATAGTAGTAGCATATAATATGATATATTATACATATATGGAGTATAACTTCCCATTTTTGTGATTGAACATGATGGGGAGTAACACTGGTTGTGTATTCATATATGAATATAGGAAAGTTACGTCCCATTAATTTTACTGCCTTTCCTCTTCTAGTCCCCCCTCTCTTCCCTTAATTTTCCTCCCTTGTCTAATCCAGTGACTTTTATCACCCACCCCCCTCACCACCACTTGTTTTGAAAACACCTGCATATCAGAGAGGACATTCGGCCTTTGTTTTTTTTCCCCTCATCTTCATTTAGTTTATTTAATTTTCAGGCTGTTGCATGGTTTCCTAAATGCTTTTTCTTTTTTTTTTAAACTTAAAAATTTTTTTTGTATACCTTTATTTTATTTATTCGTTTTTATGTGGTGCTGAGGATCAAACCCAGCACTTTGCACATGACAGGTGAGCACTCTACTGCTGAGCCACAGTCACAGCCCCCCCTAAATGCTTTTTCTAAATATATATCTTTATCTGTTCTAATTAGTTATACATGACAGTAGAATGCATTTTGACACATCATATATAAGTGGAGTAGGCTTTTGTTTTTTGGGATTGCCTTATTTCACTTAGCATGATAGTCTCCAGTTCTGTTCATTCATTGGCAAATACCATAATTTCATTCTTCACAATGAATACTATACCATTGTGTATATGTACCACATTTTCTTTATCCATTCATCTGTTGAAGGGCACCTAGATTAGTTCCATAGCTTAGCTATTGTAAGTTGAGTTGCTATGAACACGGATGTGATTGCATCACTATAGTGTGCTGATTTTGTGTCCTTTGGGTTTATACCCAGGAGTGGGATAACTGGGTCAAATGGTGGGTCCATTTCTAGTTTCCTGAGGAATCTCCATACTGCTTTCCATAGTGATTGCAGCAATTTGCAGTCTCACTGGCAATATATGAGTATACCTTTTCCCCCACATCCTCACCAACATTGTTACTTGTATTCTTGATAATTGCAATTCTGACTAGAATGAGATGAGATCTCAGTGTAGCTTAAATTTGCATTTCTCTATTTGCTTGGGATGTTGAAAATTTTTTCACATATTTGTTGACTGATTATATTTCTTCTTTTGTGACATGCCTGTTCAGTTCCCTTGCTTATTTATTGGTTGGGTTATTTGGCTTTTTTGTTGTTAAGTTTTTGAGTTCTTTATATATCTTGGAGATATATAAAGAATGATCTATCTGAGGTACAGGTGCCAAGATTTTCTCCCAATCTATAGGCTCTCTCTTCAGGTTCTTTATTGTTTACTTTCAGTAAAGAGGTTTTTTAGGGGATGGGGTTGTGGCTCAGTGGTAGACCACTTTTCTCATATGTGTGAGGCACTAGGTTCAATTCTCAGCACCTCATATAAATAAATGAATAAAATAAAGGTCCATCAACAACAACAAAAGAAGCTTTTCAGTATGATACCATCCCATTTATTCTTTTTTTTTAATTTGTTTTTTTACAAATTAAAAAACAGTACCTTTATTTTATTTATTTTTATGCAGTGTTAAGAATTGAACCCAGTGCCTCACACACGTGAGGCAAGTGCTCTACCACTGAGCTACAACCACAGCTCCTTATTGTTTCTTGAATTTACTTCTTGTGCTTTAGGATTCTTATTGAGAAATTCAGGTCCTAAACTGATATGATGGAGATTTGGGTATACTTTTTCTTCTAGTAGGTGCAGGGTCTGTGGTCTAATGCCTAGGTCTTTGATCCACTTTGAGTTGAGCTTTGTGCAGGGTGAGAGATAGGGATCTAATTTCATTTTGTTACATATGAACTTCCAGTTTTCCCAGCACCATTTGTTGAAGAGGCTATCTTTTCTCCAGTGTATGTTTTTGCCTTTGTCTTTCTTTGTGAAGAAAGTGTATTCAGTCCTTGATGGAGGAAATATTCTATATATGTCTGTTAAGTCTAAATTATTAATTGTATTTTTTAGTTTTTAGCTTATTTATTTAGTTTTTGTTTGGAGGACCTATTTAGTGATAAGAGAGGTGTGTTACAGTCACCCAGTATTATTTTATGGTGGTCTATTGGATTCTTGAAATTAAGAAGGATTTATTTGAGGTACATAGATGCTCCATTGTTTGGGTCATATATATTTATTATTATTATGTTTTGTTGATGTATGATTCCCTTAAGCAGTATGAAATGTTCTTCTTTGTCCCTTCTGATTAACTTTGGCTTGAAGTCCACTTTATCTGATATGAGACTAGAAACCACTGCTTGTTTATGAGATCCATGTTGAGTGATTTCCCACCCGCCAAAGCCCCATTATTTCACCTTCAGTCTGTGTATTCCTTTGCCTAGGAGGTGAATCTCTTGGAGACAGTATATTGTTGGCTCTTGTTTTTTAAAGATACAGTTAAAATATAATCATTTTGAAGGTTAGGGCTTCAACATATGGACTTTTGGGAGGACATAATTCAATCCATAGCAAAGGCCACCAGAAAGTCATTGAATGCTTTAGAACAGTGAGATGAAATGATTACATTTCACAAGATAACCCCAGATGTAGAGTAGAGAATGGACAGAAGAAGTGCAAAAGTGGACATAAAGGCTAATGAGGAAGTCTTTGCAGAAATCTTTGCAGTGGTCCAGTTAAATTCAGACTGAGCTTACTGCAATGCTATTGGAAAATAGAGCTATTCTAGATTCATATAGGAGATGAAATTTATCAGAGTTAGCAATTCACTTGATACTAGCATGAAGTTATAACAGACATGAGGGATGGTGTTTAGGTTCTTGGTTACTCAAGTGAATGGATGATGAAGCCATTCAAAAAGATGGGAAAATGGAAGAGGACAAAGTGGGGAAGGAACGTGAGCTTCATTTGGTACATTTCAGATACTTTTGAGACAACAAATATTTAATAATTAAATATTTAATATTTTTTTTAATGATAATGGCATTTTGAAATACTTGCTGTCTGAATACCAGAACCTTAATACAATAAAGGTTTCTCTTCTTTTTCCTGTTGAATATATATATATATTTTAGCTATTGATAGATCTTTATTTTATTTATTTATATGTGGAGCTGAGAATCGAACCCAGTGCCTCACATATGCCAGGCAAATACGCTACCCTTGAGTCACAACCCCAGTCCAAAGTTCCGGTTCTTTGAATTGACATGACAAAAGGGACAATCAATAATGTAATGTTTCTACACATTACACAAAAAGCACAGTTGGAAGGATAAGCCCTAGGCTGGAGTACTCACAGTTAACTTTTTGAAGGGAAACTTCCTAGTATGATGCACTTTACTGCAGACCTTGCATTTAGCATTTCTAAATAAGAACTAAATATCTTTGGTGGTGCCTGCCTGTAATCCCTGCAGCTCAGGAGACTGAGACAATAGGATTTCAGGTTCCAAGCCAGTCTCAGCAACTCAGTGAGGCCCAAAGCAATTCAGACTTATGTTTCTAATACAGTATTTTGGTTGCCTACAACTTCCCAGTTCTTAAAACTCTTTGAATAGCCCAGTTTACCTCTTTCTAAACTTCATTGAATTACAATGAAATTTGTAATTATTACTTCAAGGTTGGGCAGCTGATTGCGTAATGATTGAACCATTTCTACAATTCTTTCACTTGTTTTGGTGTTATTTGCCTACCCAAAGGAAAGCTTCAGAGCTCGCCCAGAGAGGGCAGTGACAGTGAGCATGGACAATTCCTTTGCATTCACTTTCCTCTCCAGCTTGCATACCTTCCACTTGCTGAGGAGGATTTTGCCCACTGGCTCCTCAGTCACCTGGAGCACTTAGCTTTACAGGCCACGCCCTTTGGTCCTCTCAGAGCGGAGAAGCCAGCTAGAAGCACCGCCCCGCTCCGGCGCCTCCAAGACTCTGCTCCACGCTCCGCCCCCGTCGAGAGGTACTTCCAGCCCTCTCGCGCCCTTGCTCCGCCCACTCCAGCTCCCCAACGTCCTCGGCGTCGGGCCCGAGCCTGCGCCTGCGCCTGCGCCCTGGTGCCGAAGTCGGGGCGCGCCTTGGCTAGAACGCGGAGAGCGGCGGGCGGTGCAGCCAATGGGAGGCGGCGCTGCCTAGCGGCTGGGAGGCGGGGCCTGCGCGGGTGTTAGGTTAGCGCGAGGCGTGACCTAGTTGACAGGCTCTGAGGTGCTGCTGTGGCGGCGGCCGCCGAACTGAGGCGGGTGGGATCCAAAGCCAAGCGCGGGCTGAGGGAGGAGGGCGGCAACTGGAAAGCGGCGAGCGACGCGGGACGCAGAGCCTTTTTCACTTTTTCCTTCACGAGTGCCCCCTCCTAACCCTCCCACTACACACACACCCTGTTTGCCCGTGAGCCTGGGGAACTTGCAGCTTAAAGCCAGCCACCCCCACGGCAACATGTACCCCAGCAACAAGAAGAAAAAGGTGTGGAGAGAGGAGAAAGGTAACCAGCCCGTCGAGTCCTGGGGGGTGCGGGCGGTAGGGGTTGGGGTGGGGGCGGGGGTCAGGCAGTGTGTGCCGCGGCGCCCTCCACTAGAGCTCCCGCCTCGCGCCCTCCGGCCGGTGCCGCCTCCCTCTGGTGTCGGTGTGTACACACGCGCACACCCGTGCGCGCCTCGCCGTGCACGCGCCGCCCCCAGGCACCTGCCGCTCGTGCACGTGTGGGCGCACGCCCCTTTCTACCTCCAGCCGCGCCCGGTCACCTTCTGCCTAGGTGGGGCGGCTCTCGCCTCGCAGGCAGCGTGGAATCCCTTGTACCCTTGGCGCGGTACAAGTTTCTGTGAATCCCAGCTGGGACTTTGGCACCCCTGGCTGGGGTGTCCCACGGACAAGTGTCCGCTGACAGGCACTCAGGCTGCATTGCCGCTGCGCCTTGGCGCCCCAGAACCCTCATTCATTCCTTCCTCTGCTCTGGCCTTCCTCCACCCAAGACTGGTAAAGAGTCCCCATTTTCAGGTGTGTATCCCCTTTCTAGGTCCCCTTCCCCAGCTGCAGTGTGACTTTTGAAATCTGAAACTCTAGGGGAAACCTGAAAGGAGCATCTTGTCAGTGAGGATAAGCGCTTTAGAGGAGTCTGAATGGGCTTTTCACTCAGCAATATATTTCTGTGTTTTACATCCCCATTCATAGTCTGAAGTTGTTCAGTGCATTGTATGTCACTCAGTGAATGAACCCATCCTTGAATTTTGTGCATATCAAGGCTTAGCCAAATCGGTTAAATTGACAGTAGCATTAATTCCTTTAAATTATACAAGTGTATGATTCAGTCCCCTCCCTTCGTTTCTCTTTCTTTTCTGTTATCACAGATTATATTCTGATCTGAAACTTGATACTGGCATTTTTTCTCCCTCTCCTTTTTCACCTCTATTCTTTATTTTTTACCTTTCTCACAGATATGTAACAAAAAGTGCTTGTATTGATACTGTTAAAATACGCTAAACTTACATGTTTGGGTGACCGGCTTGAAAATTAGTTTCTTTGATACTAGCTCTTTAAAACTTGTAGATTTTTAAATTGCAAGTCCTGGCCTTTGAACAGGTGATAGTCAAACGGTGGAGGTGAGAATGAGAATTAAAAAGAATCCTCCATGTAGGGCCTGTTTCCAACAATATATGAGAAAAGGGATAGGAAGATGCCCACCCTCCCAAAGTAACTACCAGGAAGATTTAATGTAACTGTACACACAATTAAAATGTCCTTTAAAATACTGAAAGATTAGAATGTGTGTCATTTAATAATGTTTTCATGATTATGAGCATGAGGGCTAAAAATTCTGGTGTCATGGAACAAATGCTGTTGAGAATAAGAGCCTGATATATAAAATGATCTGTTTTTTGCAGTAGTATTTATTTTCCACATATTTTCAACAAGGATACCTTATGAGCTTTGAAAAATCATTTCTACCCATTTTTATTGATGGTCTTGAAATGTTAGCTTTGTATTATTGATGATGATGAAGGCAAAATAGTGGAGACAGACATTGTTTTCAATAATATGAATCACTGATGAAATTATAGTGAGTACTTAAGAATTATTCTTCTGTTATACTTAAAAAAAAGTTCCTAAAGTAACAATGTTATAATGGTTCATTCATTTAACAGCTACACAGTTGGACTGATAAGCGGAAATTTCTAAGTCTTTTTTTCTCTATTTCTTTTAAAGGAAAAATATAACCAAATTAATATTTTTAAAATAAAGAAGTAGATGCACAAAGAAGGCAATTAAAGCAGTTTTCTCTTATCCAAAACTAAGCTATTTTTGCATGAAATTTAAAGGGAAGAGTTGTGATTTGAAACTTTAATGTATGTTTTATTGTTTTATCAACATGTTTGTATTTGGAAAATTTGAGTACAAAAATCATATGTATTATTTCATCAAGAAAGCACAAAGAATTTCTAGTACAGCAGAGAAGTTTATCTCACTAGAGAGTTGATGGCATAATATTTTTTGCAGTGTTACTTAAATCCAAAAGAAGGCTTACCCACTTCATTGAAATGTCAAGACACTCTAGAAACATGTTTAAACTCAGATCATCTAATAAGTAGGTCTGCCTGCTTATATGTTGGGTTTACAGAGGAAGGTTTCATTAGAAAGGTGAATCATTCTTTTAAAAAAAATCTTATATAATGGTAAAGAAACTGTATGTCTGTGGTCTTCAGTATGTTTCATTGTTGAAAAAAAATAACTAAGGAGTGCTCAAGACCACATTTATTAAGTAGACATTATAGTATTTTAGCCCTATTTCAGAATCAATGTGTATTTCTTTTCTTTTCTTTCTTTTTGGTACCAGGAATTGAACTCAGGGACATGCGACCACTGAGCCACATCCCCAGCCCTATTTTGTATTTTATTTTGAGACAGCGTCTCACTGAGTTGTTTAGCACTTTGCTGTTGCTGAGGCTGACTTGAACTCGTGATCCTCCTGTCTCAGCCTCTCAAGCCACTGGAATTATAGGCATGTGCCCCTGAACCTGGCTACTTAATGTTTATTTTCATTTTAAGTATTAGGACTTACTTTTGTTGTTTTTACAATTGGTCTTGTTTTGTTTTGTCTTTGTACTTAAACTTTTAAATAAATAGAACGACAGAGGACAGGTTTCATTTTTATATGTACCTTCTGACATTTGCAAAAACTGTAAATTGCTTAATGTCTTTCATCCTGATTTCTGATATTGTGGTAATTTCAAATTAGTAATCTAAGGCTTTAAAAGTAGTACTTTTAGCAATTTACAATCATCTTCCTTTTCCATTTTTGTGTGATAAGTCAGAATTTACTATTCCTTTCAGGCTTTCTACTCTACCAAGATCCTATCTCTTTGTAATACACAGATGATATTGTTTTTTTTTTTTTTAATTAACAGGGAAAGTAAATGCCTTAAAACATGAACAGCCTAAATATTCTCTTCCATGGTCTTATTGGTTTGTTTCTTTACATGTTCTTTAGTTTTTTTTCTATCTTAGAGGAAGCACTTCTTTGTTTCTAAGATAAACTCCACTGCTTGTGTTCTTCATCCCATCTCCTGTAGTTGAGATCTTCTGCCATGATTTATTTGTTCTTGGGTATGTTTTAATTTCTCAGTGTCTTTGTGTTCCTCTCTATGCCTGTAACAATTCTCACAGCACTTCACCCTGGAGTTGTTCTCATTTGCCTTCTTTTGCTCACTCCTCCATAGCCTCCTGGATTTTAGTTATATTCTAATGAAACATATGTTCCTAAAATCATTTTGTAATAACTATGATGGTGGTATAAGAGGAGTTACCATTTAAATCCTATTTGTGTGCTCAGCATTATTCTTATTGCCTTACATGGGTTATCTTGTTTGATTCTCATAACAATCCTATGAGGTAGGAAATTATAGGGTAGTATACAGTAGGGTCAAGAGCTCTGAACACAGTTGCCTAGATTTGAATCCTAGTTATTGAGCCATATAGAATCTTAGGTAAGTTATTTGACCCATCTTCCTTATTTGCCTTGTCTGTACATTGAGAATAATACCTGCCTGCTTACCTTAAAAGGACACTGCAACAAAGAGATGCAACACATATTTGCATAATTTAGATTACAACCCCAACAGCACTGTGTACCACCTCAGTGCTAGTTAATGAAAACAATGGCTTTTATAATTTTTGTGTAATTTTTATTCTTGTAGGAAGAATACTTCTTCTACTTATTCAAATTCTTCTACTTATTCAAATCCTTTTTCTTAATTTTTTCCACATCTCAATGGGACCTTGTAACCCCAGTGACAAGTAGGTTTTATTTCTTTGTTCATCTGTTTGTGCCTGATAAATATGCCTAAGTGCTTTTTAAAATTAAAAAAAAATTGGGGCTGGGGATGTGGCTCAAGCGGTAGCGTGCTCCCCTGGCATGCGTGAGGCCAGGGTTCTATCCTCAGCACCACATACAAACAAAGATGTTGTGTCCGCCGAAAAACTGAAAAATAAATATTAAAAAATTATCTCTCTCTCTCTCTCTCTCACTCTCTCTTTAAAAAAAATTTTAAAAAAATTGTTTTTTGAGGTTACATCCCCTCCCCCTTCTTTTCTCTCTTCCCTCCTCTATTCCTTTAGACTAGAAATTTAGGTTATAATTTCCAAATCATTTTTTAAAATATTTTTTAGCTGTAGATGAACACAATACTTTTTATTTTATTTATGTATTTTTATGTGGTGCTGAGGATCGAACCCAAGGTCTTGCATGTGCTAGGCGAGTGCTCTACCACTGAGCTACAACCCCAGCCCTAATTTCCAGTTCTTGAAGTTGGACCTTTCTCCAAGTTCAAGATTCTTGATTTCAAGAATGTCCCACAGGTACCTAAAACTCAATTTTTTGACCCTAATCACCTTAGTAATGTGATTTGAATGTTACCTCTGATTAAAATACCTTCTTTTGAAATGATTGAAGAAGAGCTAGTTGTAGGAGTGTGGAAAAATATTGAGCTTAGCTTCCAGAGTAGCAGAGGCTATAAGCACTAACACCATTTTCATACCTAGCTTGAAAGAATCTTTTAAAGTGATTATTTTGCTAGGGTTGAATTTCCTTGAACTATATACTATGCATTTTTAAGTTAATCATCTAAACTACAGTGCCATGTAATAAGCCAAAAGAGAATTACGGTGAGAGTGTGACTGTCATTCACTATATATGTCGTGGAGATCTTTGGTAAAGATGTACAACCGCTGACCTATAGAGTGAGGTTGCCAGTGAGTTTATATGTTGAATATTAGTAAATCTTAAGTTCTTCCTTGTTTTTGTTTTTTAGTTGTAGAAGAACACAATACCTTTATTTTATTTATTAATATTTTATATTTATTTTTATGTGGTGCTGGGGATCAAACCCAGTGCCTCATGCCTACTAGGCAAGTGCTCCACTACTGAGCCACAACACCGGCTCAAGTTCTTCCTTGTTTTTAAGATTAAAAAATTAATTTTCACATTTTTTTATTCATTCTAGTAGATCATTTTATGTACCTACTGGGACATGCAACTTTGAATATTAGTGGTCTGCTCTATAGGGTAAAGTTAAACTCCTCAGCATGGTGTACAAGTTCCTAAATAGCTATGTTTTATCTTGTTTTCAGCTATTTTTCACTTCTGTAGCCAATCACTTTCTGATATTGTATCTTTCATTTTTCATTAAACTAGTTGCATTTCCTTAATTTTAATATTGTTCTGTTGGTCAAAATGTCCTTACTTTTTGCCTCTTTATGGCAAAACTCTATACATCCTTCATGAGTCAGCTTACATATCACTTTTTTGGGGGAAGTTTTCTTGACAATGTAGTGTATTATAATGTTAATAGCATAACCTGACAGTGAAAGTGCACTTTTATTGGTAATGGCCTTGTAGAATCAAGGAATTATCTTGGTGGCTATCTTTTTTCTTTTTCTTTTTACTTTTTTTTTTTTTGAGAGTGTTTTCATTATTTGTACTTACCTGTCTTCATTTTTTTCCTCTTTTATTTGGTACTGGGAATCTAACCTGGGGTGCTTTACTAGTGAGCTACCTCCCCAGCCCTTTTTGTTTTGAGACCGGATCTTACTAAGTTGCTAAGGGTCTTGCTAAGATGCTAAAGCTGTCCTTGAACTTGTGATCCTCCTGTCTCAGTCTCCTGAGTTGCTGGGATAAGAGGTGTGTTGCACCACTGTGACTGACTTATCTTACCATTTTAAATTTTACCTACATAGGTATTATTTTGTATGTTTTCAGTTTCATCTTTTGTCCTGTGAACTCAAGGTTAAGGATCACCTTTATATCTAGGGTGTATAAACATATACCCTGATAGGTTTTATTTACAGGCTGTTAGTAAATACTGATTGAAAGAATAAATGATTTTACTTATTTCTTAGACCATCATGAGAGTGTCTTCTTCATCAGGCTTTGTTTTTATTTTTCTTGCTATTATGAGGTTAATTTGACACCTTTTAACACACATTTTGGTGTTCCTTAAGACCATACTAAGGGTTGGGGATGTGGCTCAAGCGGTATGGTGCTCCCCTGGCATGCATGCGGCCCGGGTTCGATCCTCAGCACCACATACAAACAAAGATGTTGTGTCCGCCGAAAAACTAAAAATAAATAAATATTAAAAAATCCTCTCTCTCTTTAAAAAAAAAAGTTACTTTGTTTCTATACAATTATATATATTAAAAAAAGACCATACTAAGTCTTTGGTTAGTTTAACATGGTTAATATTTAAAGTATAAAATAATTCCAAAGCTTAATAATTAAATACAAATGGAGATTCTGCTTTTATTTTGCAAGAACGTTTATTGAAGATGACCTTAGAGGAGAGACGCAAAGAATACATAAGGGACCATGTTCCTCTCAACACCATTCCATCTTGGAGGGAGGAGATGAAGGGCAAGAACCAAAATGATGGTAAGTTTCTCAGAATATTTTTTAGGTACAAACTGTTCCCATTTATTATGACTCTTGCATGACAGTTGTTGACAGAAATTAATAACATTTAAGAAAGAGATGACATTTTTGTTATTTTGCTGTTTAAATTATGCTTATCATTCAGTTGTTTAGTGTAGGACTGTACCTTAATATAATTTGTGTTTTGAAATATATCACATTTGTAATATAGTGCTCTTTTTACAGGTACATTTCATTAAAAGAGAAACAATTATTCTGCAGGAGTTTTTAGAGCAAATGCTGTTTAGAGATGTTGCTCTTGCTCTGGTGGTGTGGCATTTTGAGTTTGCTTTGATTAATTTTTTTTATTGTGTTCCTTTATTTTAAGGATTGCATATTAATTCAAAGAGTATATTAGGAGGAATAGAGAAAAACCAAGTAGGATTTCACAGAATTTTGAGAATATATGTTTTGGGTGGGGCGATATTATGTCTGCATGTAAAAATTTGTATGACAAAATTTACTCTCAAAGTTTTTGTCATTTGATGAGAGTCTAGATTGTTAGAATATAGTGAAGTTTTAAGGATTAAAAAGGTACATGAAAAAATTTCTAAGCAAACATAATAAATTTAGGGATGTTTAACATGCTTACCTCAGAATTAACACTCACTGGTATTAATAATCTGAATATAAAGTGTAGACAAACAGGGTACTTTTTAGGTGCTTAATAGTTGAGCAACTGTTTTATAAAACGAACTTGGACCATGTTAATTTCATAGATTGTGGTCTTAGATTGATGGAACCATAACAGGTACAAAGTACCTTGTGCCCTGAAAATGAAGACAAACATGGAATTCTATGGACAAAATCTATGGGGAGAAACATCCAAATTAGGCTTTGGTGTCTGTGAAGAGAATACATGATCAGGTGTTAGATAGGGTTTTGTGTTTTTAGAAGGGCAAAGCATGTGAGGATGGGAGTGAAAAAGTATGGGTTCTTTTAGATCTTATGTTACCTAGAAATGTTTGATATTGGGCAAGTTGGGTAGTGACTCCACCTCAGGTTCTAATAGTAAATACTGATTGAAATAATAAGTGATTTTACTTATTTCTTAGATAAAAAACCCAGCCCTTAATGTACTATTTTTTTTAAAGAGAGAGATAGAGAGAGAATTTTTTTTTAATATTTATTTTTCAGTTTTTGGTGGACACAAAATCTTTATTTGTATGTGATGCTGAGGATTGAACCCAGGCTGCACGCATGCCAGGCGAGTGCGCTACCGCTTGAGCCACATCCCCAGCCCCTTAATGTACTATTTTTGTATGTGATAATAACATTGTAGTTCTATTGAAACAACAAAAAAGTGTCATTGGACTAAAGTGTCATTGGACAAGCTGTTTGGGATGTTCACATCTGACCTGTGTCTTAAGTAAATGCAAGTTGTTTTAATAATGGTCTGATTAAAGATACCATTGAAAGAAAAGATAATGCTGTGTAGTGGAAAGAATATAGGGCCAGAAATCAGGGAGATAGAGTTCTGGGTTTTGTCTAACCTTGTACCTCTTCATGTTTGAGTCTCAATGTTTTTTCTTCTTTTGTTTATAAGCAACTGGTATTGAATATTCAGCCATTATATATACATACATGCATATATATATATATATATATATATATATATATAAAATACACACACACACACACACACACACATATATATATATATATATATTTGTTTATTTTATTCTTTTTTCTAGTGCTTCATTCATCTGATTATCTTTTTTGGTTCCTAATTTAGGAACCAAAAAAGATAATCAGATGAATACAAGGATACAGTACATGATGTTATTTTTAGGAAATCTGTCCTTTCAAGATAGATGTGGAATTCTGTTCTTGCCAAAATAATTGACAAAGCAGCAGTTGATACCCAGGCTGCTTGGCCCTGTGTTGGACTTGCTTACCTCTTCATGGAAGCTTGGCCTTTCTATTGGTTACTTCCATTTAAGAATTTAGCAGGTAATGCTCTGTAGGGTAAAATTGTGCTGTTAGAGAAGTCAGAGTTGGATGTTTTCAGAGAAACCATGTGCCAAATAGTGTTCCCCAAATTAGAAAATACACTTAGAATAGCACCTTACATGTTTAGATGCTGTATATTTAATCCTGTCTCTTAGTATGAATTTTATAAGTGATTCATAACTGCTCTATATATTTCATTTTTTTCCCTTAATGCTTTTTTGAACTTGAAGTCCTTCATGGGGAACTAGGTGATGACATTAAGATTGTATTTCTGTTAAACAGTGTTTTATTCTTTCATCTAAAATCTGAAATGTTACTTGTTCCTCTCTTTACGACCTAGAAACTGGTGTCTGGCCTCTCCCAGACACCAGTGAAATGGAATGGCTCATTCTATAAGTAATGTTAATTTCTTTATATTATATACATCTTTCAGGTGTACTTTCTTACTGTAACCTATTTACTGCTTAATTATAACAAAATATTAGTAAAGAGAATCTATTTAGTACTATAATAGTTTAAAAGATTTTTAGGGCTGGGGGTATAGCTCAATGGTAGAACATTTGCCTAGCATGCCTGAGGTCCTGGCACTGGATCTCTAGCCCTAAGGGGAAAAAAAACCCCACTAAAAATATAAATTCAGAGGTAGGCACATTAGCACATACCTATAGTTCCAGCTATTAGGGAGTTGTCTCTGAAGCAGGAAGATCACTTGAGCCCAGGAGCCAAAGTATAAGTGTGTGTGTATATATATTATATTTTATAAAAAATGATATAGGAACAGTATACATATAGGCATATTTTGAAATGTTTAAAGTCATTGCTTATAATTATGTATATAAGTAGGTATTGATATTTATACAAGTTTAATTTTTAAAATATGATACTTTAAATATTAAAATCTGTCTCTAATTCCTTTTCTTTTCGTTCTTAACTTTTAGGAAATGGACAATATTTATTGGGTTAGGAAAGTCTATCAATTTTAAACTCAGTAGTTTTTTAATTATCTTTGTTTTCACAGAAGGTCATTTTGCCTTAATATTCCATGGTTACATGGAAAATTCTTAAGCTTTTGTTTTAAAATTTTTCCTTTGTTCAGATTTCTTTTAGTTAAAAACTTACTAGCATATACTAGAAAGTTGAAAAAGAGTGGAGTGGCCAGATGTGTAACAATTTTGATTTTGATTTTAAGTCATCCTTAAAGATTAAAAGGAAACGAAAAATCACTAAATAAGATAAATGTCGATGTTTATATGAAATGGAGGAAGAAAGTGGATGTTATTTTTTACTTTAATTTATTATTTTGGTAATATTGAAAAGTTATGGATCAGAAGAGAAAAGAATAAGAGGTGATTAGCCTTCCTTCCCCAAAATAGCTCATTACAACATATCATTTGCTTATCATTCATGTTCATATTTGTCAACTATTATTAGCAAATCTCTGGAGCTGTGTGCTTCCAGTTACATCTTTCTCTGTTAACAATTGGGTAATATTCTATTTTATTTGTCTGTTGGTAGGTTGCAGGAAGTTTTAAGTTTTCTGTTATTCTCTTTGGCTAATACCTGGAATAATATCTTATGTGTAGGTGGGCTTGGTCAGTGTGTTAAATAAGGATGCTTATCTACGAGGGACAATTTTCTATCCCCCAACCAGTTTTAATCATGGGCATTAAAAAATGTATGTATAAAGAGAGTAGGTTAATAAACTTTCATGCATTCACCAACCAATTTCAACAGGGAATACACAGCCAATTTTATTTAATTTATACCATTGCTCCTTGGATCTTCCTTCCAGACCATTTTGAAGCAAATCATACATACATTTCTATTTTTTTTTTTGTGTGTGCATGTGTGTGTATGTGTGTGTGTATAATACATATATATGCATATGGCTGTATCTTTTTTTTATTGGTGGTTCAAAACATTACAAAGCTCATGACATATCATCTTCTATACATTTGATTCAAGTGGGTTATGAACTCCCATTTTTTGCCCCAAATACAAGTTGCAGAATCACATTGGTTACACATCCTCTTTAAAAGACACTTTTTTGTTGTTTCAATAGAACTATAATGTTATTATCACATATAAAAATAGTACATTAAGGGCTGGGGTTGTAGCTCAATGGTAGAGCGCTTGCCTAGTGTGTGTGAGGCACTGGATTTGATTCTCAGCACCACATGTAAGTAAATAAGATAAAGGTCCATTGACAAAGAAAATAAATTAGTAATTAATATAATTAACTACTAATTAGTATTTACATTTTCCCTTTGTCTCATAAAGTTTTTTTAACAGTTGATTTATTTGAATCAAAATTTAAACAATGTTATTGTATTACAATTAATCAATAGTTTTAAGTCACTTTAATTTAGTTTTCTTCCTATCCTTTTTTTCCCTCTTATTATTTAATACACTAAGCTGTTTGTCCTGCAGAAATTTTCATTTTTTTATTGCTGACTATGTCATTATGTTATCCTTTAGTACATTGTGATGTTTCTCTATTTTTTAGAGTTGATGGTTCTATCCAGAGACTTATTAAGACTTGTATTTAAAATTTTTTGAAGAATGCTATGTGGATTATTGTGCATTTTTTTTGCATTATATCACAAAGCACATAATGTCTTGACTATCTCTCTATGGTAATAATACTTATCACTGGATTCAAGTATTGTCAGTCTGCTCCATATAGCTGTAAAGTTTCCTATCATTTTTTTAACCCTAAGTAGTCATTGATAATTGTTACTTAGTTGTTTTATTTTATTAGGGATTTCAAAATAGTGTTTGAATTTTATGTTTCCTTCATTTATTAGTTGGACTTTTATAAGGAGTAATTTTCTCTTATCAGCTCTTTGGTCTTGTAATTCATACACAAAAGGAAGAATAAAAATTTTAGATTTCCCTTATTTACCAGTTTTCAGATGGAGTTGATTCCCTCATATCTTCCAAAGGTGATCAAAGAGTTCTTTCTAAATTTTGATTATCATTTTGAATCTCTATCTCTGTCATTTACC